TTTTCCCCCAACGGAAAGCTTAGGCTTTTCTATGAATAATGGATAATCAGAACTGGAGCCAAATCTTCCCATTTAAAAACAGTATTTCCATTTGGAAGTGTCATCACGGTGCCGTTCGGGAGTTGTTTGGCTCCCACAGCCAAACTACAACTCCCAGGTTGCCTCATAATTCTGCATTTTCCTGAGTTGATCTCATGAGTCTTGGTGTTGCATTTAGGGGATGTGTGTGTCAAGGAGATGCTCTGACAAATAGGAACAGGTGCCTAGGAAACCTCAAATGCATATTTTCTGTGACATCTCTCTTAAACAGTTCTGATGTTTTGGATAGTACAATTTGGAGTTTTGACAGGATATCTAGGGGTTTGAGGGGAAGAGGATGTTGGATTGGTGAGGAAAATCAACATTTCTTGCAAAAAGTAGATACTTGTTATATGAAACTTTGAGCTGAAAATTGACTTTTCCATTCAAAATCAGTGACTAAAAATGCTGTTCTAAGACTTTTTTTAATCAATGATATATAAAGTTTTGAAGATGCTTAGGAGAGACTCGTCAGAGACCACATCTCATGGACAAGGACCCAGTTTTTATTTGCTCCCTGAATCATTATTTGTTCCTTCATAAATTAGTACAAAGACTTATTACTTGCATCTTTCTTGCAGGTGACGGTGCAAAGCATGGGCAACAGCAGGGGAATGAATTATCTGGTATTTAATGATTAATGTTGTTGCAACTAGAGGAAATAGAAATGTGATGGGCATCCTTTGATGTGAAGCTGGAAGGGGGGTTAGCTCATCTCTGATAAGGCTGTTAACTCACTTTTTCAGCAGATCATGTGAACTCCTTGTCTTATTTGATTATGACATTGACAGCATTAGCTGGAGTGAAGCAGATCTTGTTCTGCATCTCTAAGTGATTTGTGACCAAACGCAACTTAATGAAATGTATCCACAGACAGAAAAGGAACCTTTCTATCGGAGGCAGCTGAGCAAGGATAGAGATATGGTTACATGCATGGAACAAGAATAACACAGACTGCATCATTTATCTTGGGAAGCAAGGAATTGTCCATTGCGACAAAATCAGTCAGATATAGCAAGTGAAATGCTGAAGGCTCATTACACTAATTAGTATCAGTGCTCAGCTGCAGGGAGGCAAGAAAAAACTGGCAGAGTGATACTTCAGGATAGTGTTTGCCCAAGAGGAAGTGTTGTGAATCATAGATTCATTAGTCAGTGCCAGGAGGGAAGAGCTGTACAGCAGCCGTGGTCTGAAATGAGACAGGTCCTTTCAATGGCACCCTTAAATTGGTTGGCATCCAGATAGCACAAGTGTCATTCAGGAGATGAATTTGGCATTGTATGTGTGTGTAAGGTGCTATAAAAAAAAAGAGAAGAAAGTAGTAAAAAATTTCCTTTTAAAGCCCTGGTGATAAATAGGCAATAGTTCACAGTGCAATTGAGAAACCACCATTGCTTGGTACTTTATAGGGATCTCTCAGGAGAAGTTGACTTTTTGGCCTTGTTTTTCATCATCTAGTTAAACAGTGCCTGCCTGCCTTAGTCCACCCTCCATTAAAATATGAGGAAGTGCTTTGCTGGTTCTGCTGCTTCCCCACATCTTGTGAACAAGAGAAGCAAGAGAGAATTATGTAGAATATATCTGGGTAATGCACAATTAGCAGAATTACAGTACTTTATACAGAGACACAGAAGTGGGATTTTCTTACTGGATTTTTTTTTGGCAATTGTTTTTGTAAGCTGGCAGTAGTCCCATCCAAGGTGGCATATATTCTAGCTAATGCTGCAAAGGAGAAAAGACATGTAAAGCATTCCAAGGAAATAGAGTAACTTGGAACCGTTTTGTAATAAATGCCTTTGATTTGAGTAGTGAATTTCGTTAAATCCTGCCAAACATCCAAAGCCATTCTCAGTTTCCTAGTTCCTTTATTTGCTATCAGCACTTGAAATCAGCTTAATATTTTACCTTTGCCCTTGGCTGCAGAGCATAACAGGCAAAAAATGTTATCTGTGCCTGTCATCACTGTTAGGAAAGAGAGAAGAAAGGAAGGGAAGGGATGAGGAGCAACAGGGCTGGCAGTGAACTGACATGTACAAAAATAAACAGACTTTAGTATATGAAGGAAGGAGGGAGCAGGGTGGGAAAAATCAACCTCTTGTAATTAAATTTAAAGTTTGCATCTTCTTAAGAGCTGTGGATACAGCCAGACAGAGGGCTAATATTTGAAGGTTGTTTACATGAGCAGAGATGTTAATCATTGAAGGGACAAAGCTGCACTTCGTCTTCTAGCTCTTTCGTTCATGCAGAGATGTTACCTTCTTTCCCTGCAGTCAGTAAGAACTTTCATATAACTGGTTTAGAGTTGGATGATTCTTCTTAAACTAATACTAAGCAACCAGCAGCACCTGTGAACTACAGAGGGGGGGAATGGCCTTGTCATAGGGTCACCTCTGAGAAAATCCACAATTTCTGTCAGAGCAGCAGAATTGGTAAATTGTATTATGGACTGTCTGAAGAGTGAGGGTGCTGTGAACTGCAGAGATCTTGGTGTGCTGTGTGGAAGCTGTGCCTGTGTATGAGTAAAGCCTTGCAGTCCATGGGCCACAGGGGAACCAGATTCTGCAGTAGGAAACACTGGTGCCTTGTCACACTGTCTGCTTGGCTTTCATGTGTGTTAAAAGACTTGATTTGGAGTTTTTCTTATATGACGGATCACGAGGTTTCTTTATAAGTGCTGAAGGAATAATGAACTTTTTTAGAGGCTTTTAGTTTAGTCTAAGAAATAAAAATTGAGCTCGGGGTTGGTTTAACATTAATCTCTGAATTTACTGAATCTTGTTAGGAATAATTTTTAGCTGTCATGTTCCTATTCCCCTGCATGTTTGTCTCTTTGTATTGGACTCTTCCGGTGTGTGCCAAGGCATTTTGGTAGAGGGATATGTGTAGACAGCTTGAGTAGACATAAACTACAGACAATTCCCACAGTGAAGGGCATATAGTGGGCTTAGGGGTGTTTTTTTGCGAACATTGACAATGTTGAGAAACTATTTCTGTGGTTCTGAAATAACAAGACCCTCTTTTTTCTTGATGTTAAATTAAAATATGACAATAAAAATCTAGTTATCATTCTTTCCCTCTGAATGAAAATTCTTTTTGTTTTTTTTTCAATTAGTTGTGCTCCCTGGTATATCACTGTGATGCAGGAAGGTATCACACTTACGTCAAGGAAGTGTCTGGGTTTTATTTTTTCATAGTCACACTGGGGAAAGACGAGTTCCTGAATGCGACCCAATGACTGTGGCATTGTACCTATTGAAAGGAAATTGTGTAAGCACACAATTTCTTGGCAGAAATACAGCTGCTAATCTCAGTTGAGCAGCTGTTGTCCTGAAGATCAGGAGAGGTGAGCCTAAAGGTAACTTTATCCAAAGAGCCTTTAAGAAACATAGCAGAAGTTGTCATGTTTTCATATAGAATTTTTGGCAGAAGCCTCACAGCACCATTTGCTGACTTCCCAAGTGTTAGCTATTGCTAATGTTTTATGATTTGCTGAATGAGTAACATGGGAATTGTGGATTATGAGGAAATAAGGGAATTCAGATAGCTGAAATGAAAGTAAACTTGGAATGGATCTTGTGGTGTTACCAGAAACCCCAGGATGGCTTAGAGACCTTTTTTTTGTACATTAAAAATGTATGAAATATTCTTAGTGGTTCTTATTATTTCTTTGCCTTTCATTCTTAACCAGTTCTCCATTGTTTGCACCTTGGTTGTTTTTTTAAAGCATTCCTGCTTTATGAGCCTTTTTCTTCAAGCATCCTTTGCAAGGCATTGATATTGCCCAAAGTGCTACACGCGGAACACCTCAGTGCAAGGCTCTGCCAGTACAGCAGCAGACCCCCATCTCTACAAGTACATTTATATTCTATTTTGTTCTAGGAAGCTCGAGCAGCAAAACTGGATACAACTCCATAGCTAGAAGTTCACCCAACACTTTGGATATTTTTGAAATTTTTTTTGAAGTAGAAGGAGCCCAAGTTTACAGTGCCACTAGAAGCATCCTAGTACCGGACTGGATACTGTGGAGATGATGAGGACCTACCACGATATCTTATATGCTCTAGAGGTGATGCCTGAATTGTATCACCACACCATGTTTTGAAAATTATGAACCACATTACAGCAAATCCTTTGAAGAGTGGAAGGAGGCTCTGATTGGCACATAGTCATTAACAAGAGAGATTAGTTGGATTTTTTCAAAATTGTACTGCTCCCTACAGTCAAGTATCCTGCACCATCTCTCACTGATCACTGAGTCAGTAACAGAATATGTTCAAACTAAGGGAAATGTTTACTCAGTGCAAGTCTGGGATCCTTATTTAGCTTTTTATCCAGCCTTTGCAGTGAAGCTAGGTAATTGTTCTCCATAATGATGTAGCATGCATCAAGATCTTCTTGACAGGATTTAGATAGTGGCATTTCTTGTGAGTAGAGAAGCTTAAATGAGAGACCCAGCTCATCTCACTTAAGTGCATCTGTACTTCAGACTGGTTGAAGAGATTCGAGTGCCTGCCTTCAGTTAGAATGAGTAGGAGTTGGAAGTGCTTGTTTACTGTGGAGGTTTTGAGAAGCCTGAGCTCTATGTAAGCTGGGTGAATTTCGTAGATAGCATGGATTTAGAACACTGCAGTGGACTTCTTGTCTTTGATTTGTGCATTCTTAGGTAAAGGAAAAACTGCATTTATTTTCAGGACTGCAATTATGTGAACCTTGGAAGGAAAGGAAATTGTAATATTCATATACTACAAGAACCTTTGAAATATAAGGTGGACCATTGGTTCATTCCAGCCCAGTGTTCAAAACCTTTATATTTGTATTCTATTGACATTCCCACTCCTCGTGCTAGGGCTTGCCAGGATTGGAAACTCTTTGGAATCAGCTGTTGTTTTACTAGTTTGTGATGTGTTGCTTTCTGATTTCAGCTACCGTTGTTCATTGAGTGGGCATGATCTGAACAGACAGTGGATGACACCCAATTCCCAGCTGCATCCAACTATTTACCACGCCAAAGGTCTTCTCTATTACCTGCGCAGCATTGGCCGGGCTCCTCTGGTGAGTCTCTTCCAGAATCTTTTGTGAGTTGCTTACTGTAGTTCTGTGAACAGTCTTGTTATAGAGCTGGAATGATTTGGAAAGCATCATATACTTTTACTCTTTCATCTTACAGAATTGTTTTGGAGGTCTTGGGTATCTATTACTTACTGCACCTTCTATCCAGGTACTCCAAATTTCAGAATCTCTGCACACCTGGAATAAAAATGAGAAAATGAATTCCTTAAAGCTCTTTATATCTTCCAAGTACTCCAACTGAGCTAAATATTATGAGTAGGTTATTGCTATCTTCATGGCAGTGATAGGAGAAATTCCACAAAGATTTAGTCTAAGTGGACTATGCTAAAGCCCATGAAAACAGAGCCTCCAAGCCCTCACAGTGTCTGAACTTCCATGCTGCTTTGGTAAGGAAGAAAACAACTACTTTTGTGGGCTACCATGATATGGGTCTCACCTCAAAGCTGCAGCTGGACTAGGGCTGTGATCCATCACATCTGCTCAGTCTTGTTGCCCAGCAGACTGAAAAGATAGTTCTGAGACCTCAGAAGAAAAGCCTCAAGGAGGTTCAAATGTTGACAAGCAGATGTGGATGCACGGACTGACAGGTTGGCTGATGACAGCTACAGCCAGGCAGGAAATGTCCAAGTGCACCAGATTCCCCCTGGGTTTGATGAGAAAAACCCCAGACAAGGTGAAAATATCCGTGAGCTTCATGAAGTGAATTCTTGTGGGAATGTGATTTTTGGATAAATCAACAGCCCTAAAATTTATCTCTGTAGGCTGAGGAATATTGTGGAAACCCATTGAGTCACCAGCCTTTTCATTTGGTTCAGAGCAGTGTAGTGTCAGTCTTGTTTTACCCTGCTATTTCCTGACCAGCCTCTTTTAATACACAAGCCTCCTTGTCATATCCAGGTGCATGAAGTCTAACACTCAGTGCAAGTTTTCATCATTGTTGAGCGAAGGGAAACTATTGATCCTACCATCTCCCTCACTCACAGACTGCGTGTCAGACTTGGTAAACTGATTTTTTCACGCCTTTGAAGAGTACATTGATTTTAGTTTATACATGCTCAAAAATGCCTTTTCCCTCCTTCAGAAGACAGCTCAGTTTCTTTTTTAATTTTTTGTAACCTCCAAGATCCCATGGAGCCAAGTTCACTTATAGCCAAATGATTTCTGTGAACTGATTTAGTTTAATTTATCCTGGTGATGTGCAAGCAGTTCCTTTAAAGCAAGAAGAGCTGGTTGAAGGAGTAAAGCAAAGAACTTTAGATTTAACAGCCATTTTAATTGGTAAGTTGTATAGACAACAGTCTGAATTGTGGTGGTGGTTTTATTGGCTTCTCTTGTTGAAGGTGGGAACCCCTGTACGACCACAGGACTGGATGTATTGTAGCACTGCAAAGAGTCTGAGCTGTAGTGAAGAGCAGGATACCCTAGAAGGAGAAAGAAAGAACTTCCAATGGACCAGGAGGCAATGAGCAGAGTTGCCATTCAAAGGCATTATATATCAAGCTTGGAAACAAACATCAGCCTGCAAGGATGTACTCACTGAGAGGAAAAAAAAACCCTAAGCACGTCTACCTCAAAACTGACATTCAAAGTCCTGTCAAAATGTTATTACGGAAAAAAAAAAAGAGGTTTTACTCAAAAAAAGACATTTCAAAATGTTCTGTTTTCCAACAGATTTTCTTTCTTCCCCTTTTAATATTTTGCTTTTTTTTTATTTTAGAAGGTGACTGGTTCTGTGACTCATGAGGAGGGCTGTTTTTGAGTTAGAAAACAATCCTTACCTTTAGGATGATCAGCGCTGGCAAATAAAATAACTTCGAATAGATAAAAAAATTTAACGTGTGTCTTTGAGTCATATCCCAGTGAGTGCAAACCTTGGGAGTCTGACTGGTTTGTGTGCCTTAGTGTCTCAGGCATATGGAAGGACAGGTTGGAGAAAAAGCACTGGTAGATGCCAAGTTTGCTCAGTGTTTGCCCAGACATATCCCCAGAAGAATTCTGTATTGGGTGCTCAGACTACAAAATATAGCTTAGCCTTGGCTGAATGATGAGACATAAGCTACCCTGTAGTGTGAAAATCAGGCAGAAGCATGCAGTATGAAGAATAATGAAGTATAAACATTGGGAGTGATTGCAGAATCCAGTAAACTTAATTAAAATGTAGCTCTAAGCAACTTGCAAATAAAATGGAAGTGTTTGCAGTGGTACTGATGTTTCTGTTGTGGAAGCTGGTGACGTGACCTTCAGTGAAAGATCCCATGGCCTGAACCAGTTGCTGTATTACAGCACCTGGCTTTGGTAATCCTTTACCAGTAAAGAAATATCATTTCAGACCTGCCCCTAAGGACTTGTCTGCAGGTTTCTTGAGGTGCAGAATTATAGACCTGCTACTGATCAGGCAACCCTACTCTCTGATCATCCCTGTGTGGTTTCTGATAAGTAATATTTTAGACAGATATATATGTTGTCTTTTGTGTGTTGGTAATTCTGTGAGTTAGCAGGTAATTGATACCAAATTGATCTGGGTTCTCTGCCTTGAAATAAGATAAAAACTCTAAAATCCTCTTTGATATTCTTAGGAATACTCTCTCGTTGGTACCTGTGGTTAACCCAAGCTATGGCTGTTTATTGCTGATAGCTTAGATGAAACACGAGCTGGAAAAGTATCTGTCATTAAGAGAATTAATAAATACAGCTTTTTTGAAGGAGATAGTACAGGATCGCTGTGAATGAGTCAGAGTTTTTGGCGAATAGCTCGCTGTTCATGTGCTCCAGGTGTGGAATGTGCATGCTGCAGGTACAGGGATGTGCAGATTCCCAGCCCCACAAAAGGAGCTGTAGGCAAGCGATGGTGCAGGAAGGAAAGTTGACAGGTAAGAAACCAAAGGAAACAGCAGCATATAAGCTATGAAATGTGTGTAATTGTCCATCTGAGTGGGAGCAGTGGGATGATTCATTATGCATGTATGCCTTAACCTTTCCAATAGGGCAACTTAGTGTTTGTCAGAGGAGCTGAAAGAATGTACATGCTCAATTCCTGGATAATTAAACTCCCTGACTTGCTGTGGCTAAACTTAGTTACTGTATAGCTGGTAAATAAACAAACTAGGGTAAGTCTTGCCCTAACAGTTGGTGGAAGAAGCTCATCTACTCCATCTGTTTCTCCCCTCTTGTGTATGTATTTAGGTAAGAATACGTATATATGGGGGGGAGTGTGATCTGCTGGAGGGTAGGAAGGCTCTGCAGAGGGATCTGGACAGGCTGGGTCTATGGGCTGTCAGTGAGTGGGTGTCAGGCTCTTCTCCCAAGTCACATTTGACAAGACAAGAGGAAATGGCCTCAGATTGTGCCACGAGAGGTTTAGACTGGATATGAGGAAGCAAGTTCTTCTCTGAAGAGTTACCAAGCATTGGAACTGGCTACCCAGAGCAGTGTGAAGTCACCAACTCTGGAGATGTTTAAAAATAGGGACATGGTTTAGTGGTGGATTTGGCAGTGTTGGTTAATGTTTGTACTCGATGATCTTAGAAGTATTTTCTAACCTAAGCAGTTCTGTGATTCTATTTTTTTAGCACATATTTCTCCCCCATCTCTCTTTATATTGAGCCATAATACTTCTCTACCTTCACACATTTGTTTGTCTCCCACATAAGCCCTGGAAAACTTCCTTGATGAAATCTTGAAGCTCCTTTCTACTCAATGGTGAATGCTGGTTTAAAATTAAGCAATTCTTTCTCTTTAGAAATTCTTATATTTTCACTGACAGATTTCTGGATATTCCTGATTAAGACATGGAAAATATATGTAACAACCGTGTGTTTATTGACTTGATATCTCAGAGGGCACTGAGATTGATTTTTCTTTAAAACTTGGGTCAATATTTACCTCTTGGGTCATTAAATTGTGATTTTCATTTCTATGGAAGTCAATATCTGCCTATAAAGGCAATCAACACTTCCACTAAAACTGGGAATGTGCCTTGTGCTGAGCTTTTATGACAGCTGATGTGAGAGACGGATTAGATAGACAGGTTGATTAGTGTGGAATGAAATTATTTGCCATGAAGATGGGTCATGTTCTGTGCTTGACTTCCAGGAATTCATGCAATGGTCTGACAATATAAGTGCACAATTATATTTTCCTGAAAATTATGTGGCATGGGTTTTGAATTTAAGATGACAAAGTGGCGATTAATTGCTTGGGAAAGCACAGATTTCAAGTCTCACAAGGATAAAGCTGAACTTTAGGAGTTTGGAAGTAGAAAGAGCTTGAAAAATTACTCTGTTGTGGTATCAGAAGTTCCCATGAACCCTGAGGTTCCTGAGTTGCCATGGATTCTTGCGCAGGTGTCATGTTCATTTCTGCTGCAGACAGAAATACACTAGTTTTGACTCTGGATCCCTGAGATCATGTCAGATCAAATAAATAAAACAAGATACAACTGACTAACAAAGTTTGACACAGGTTGTAGGCATGGCCCAGAGTTTAAGCTACTCCAAAGAGCTGAAAAAACCACATTAACACACCCCACAGTCTTATAGTGCTTTTTATGAAGAACCAAGAAACTTTTTCAATGTTCAAGATTTTGCTTAATTTTCTCCTCTCCCTAGGTATTCTGTGACTACCACGGACACTCCCAGAAAAAGAATGTGTTTCTTTATGGCTGCAGCATCAAGGAGACCTTGTGGCAAGCAGGCTGCATGGTTGACACAGCAGTTATCACAGAAGATGTTGGCTACAGAGTAGGTCCACTTGGTTCCTTTCTTAATTACTGACCTGTATGTGCCTATATATTTAAGATAAGATCACCTCACAAATTTTAGCGATAAAGTGCAAGTTTCCTTTGGAGTAATGATGCAGAGAGTTTCAAGCCATGCATAATATCTTCATACACTAGATATTAGGGACCCATCTACTAACAGTATTTTCGTTATTTTAGTAAGATGCATCTTTGGCTACATGCTAACAGGACAGGCATATTTTTGTGGTTTATAATTTCTAGAGATACCTACGCTTTTGTCCCCACCACCCCAACATAAAAAGAAAATAAATTGGAATCATGTAATGGTAACTGAGAAAATGACAGTGTGCCACTGTCCTACTCAGTCAAATTGCTTCATCACGAGATGCTCCTGGTCCCACTGAAAACACCAGATAATTCAATGGATACCAAACAGATCTAATATAGTAAAGTTATTTCCACAGCAGGTGTTTAGTGTCATATCTAGGCTTTTTTTTTTAATATAAAGAAGAAATAATAAAATCTCTTATATATGTACTTCATGTAAATGTCTTGTTCATCAAACAGTTCTTTGGATTTCCTGCCCATCTCTCTTTTTTTTTTTTTTGTATCCGTTTAGATGATATTTTCCTATTAAATAACAAATTTCCTTGGGGGAAAAAAAATCTTATAAACTCTAATTCTAGTCTTAAAAAATGTTAATTTCTTAACATATGGATTGTGGCTTTAACCTGATTACAGAGTAATAGCTCGATTCACTCAAAACTAAAAGAGATTGAAAAGTCTTTGCCAAATTATACCTCTGTATAATTTTTGCTTCTTCAGCATAAATACTAATTATTCTTATAAGGACACAGTGTCTTCAATGTTCATCTTATGGAGTTGTACAGAGCACACTGAGACTTTACTGGAAGAAGATAATCCCTGTGGCAAACACTGTTTCCCAAGGAAAGCAGGGAGGGTACCTACAGTCAGGACATCTTTTGGTGTGTTTGAATTCCGAGGGCTTCAGAAGGCTGAGGATAGTTACTGCCACACAAACAGAATTCAAATGTTGCTGTCAGCATCTGGAGCCTGACTCGAATCTGCAATGAAGAAAGGCTCCAAGGCTGTCCAAAAATACTCTGTAGTGGCCTGTAGAAAGATTTTGTGGTTCAAATCCTCTCTTTTGTGCAAAACGAGGCATGGGTGCCTGCTGCAGTCCTAACCTGTAGGTCACCCTCTTCCTACTTAGGCTGAGGAGGCTGAATTTACAGTGGGACACATCTGCAATTGCAAACTTCAGCAGATAACCACCCCTGCCTCAGACCTGCTTCCTTGCACTGTTTGCACAGGTTTCTCTCCTGCCTTGGGAGAACTGAGAATTAATCTGGCCTCCATGATTGATTTTTCTCCCCAGGAGTAGGAACCAAATATCTCAAGAAAATGATGTTTTTTGGAACAGACTTTGCCTCATACGTCATAGATTTAGCTGTAGCCCTTGGCAATATACAGAGTCAGAGTCTTTGTTTCCTTCTAATATTTGGTGGCCTTGGGTGACTTGCACGGCATTGGCATCGTAATCCCAATCTTTTGATAAACATTCCAGGCCCCTTTGACAGCGATCTCTGCAGGGACATCAGTAAAGGAATATAATTCCATTTTCTTCCTAATGGTATTGGAGGTTTATGGACAGGTTCCAGTGTGATGGGAGCAGCTTCCTTTGCTGTTGTACATGACAAATCCAGCTGTGAGAGTGACATGGAAACTGCTGTATTATCATAAAACCATCCTTTAAAGGGATGTGTTTTCATGCAAAATATGCTATTGAAAGATAATTAATGAGAAGAATAAGTAGAGAAGAAAGAACCATTAGTGTGAAATCCAGTGAATGCTGGTAAAATGAAAAGAATATTAAATTCAAGTTTGCTAATACTCTTAAATGAGTCCTGTGTACAGAGACATTACTGTTACCTGCCAGCATTTTTATTTAATTAAAAGTAAAAGATTGATTATGCATATAATTTCAATTGCTTTAAAAACCTAAACTGGATTAGGGTTCTGATTATTGTGTTTGATGGTATATATTTACAAAAAAATATTTGTTTGTAGGTTCAGATAAAGGCAGAATTAAAAACTATCTGAATCTTTACATACAGTTTAACTGGATTTAACTGGTTGTGCTGAGGCTTATAAATACCTGAATCATGTGGTTCTGCTGCAGTTTTTTTAGTTCCTGTTCAACCAAAATCCAGGACAACCTGGAAGCTGGGATGAAAGTGTACTATTTTGTGATCCCCATGCAGCAAGTAGCAATGAAGGCAATGCAGACATACTGGATTCTTTGCTGAAGGCAAGCAGTCAGTTTTCAAGGTTCCTTTGTTCAGTGCACCCACAGGAAAGGGAGTGCAGCAGTTCTTAGTAACACACTGGAGATCTTGACTTAAGAGTGAGGCTCAAGGTGGTCTCAGATTTAAAGTGGAATCTTTTTCTTTGTTTCAGGTTTCTCCATCACAGTTTTTTCATCTGAAAAATGGACCTTATGAAACTTTACCAGTTCCATAGATATAGAGACCACTGACAGCTGTAGCCAGAATACAGTGAAAAATAAAATTTACTTGTTCCTTATAAAGATGTGTATGGTTAAGCAGTTTGCAGGAGATATTGCAAAATAGTTTAGGCCAAATATATATTGTTCACATCAAATGTGTTTTAGGAAAGGACATTATTCATTTACTTTCAAACTGAATATTCCCATACAGTGCTATGAAGTAAAGCCCAACAGAATGGAACTACAATTACTCAGAATCAGTCAGTGAAACTGATGGTTATTGGAAAGTGAAATTAGCTTGGTTGGCTTTTACCACTCAAACTGAATGAAATTCAAGGGTAAATGCCATTAGCCATATGTGGAAACTCCTTCTATATGATTCTGTTCATTTCAGCTGTTTAAGAAAACTGTCATCAGAGAAATAACGGTCTAATTTTGTTTTCTCTCATCTAGATAAATCAAAAGGTCTTTTGGCATGTGTTATGGTTAGTGTACCAGCACTGAAGTTTAGACACACGCAGACATAACCCACATACATGTATATGTGTGTGGGTACCTAACAATCCAGTTTATATACTAGTACCAGGTGTGCTCTACGTATCTGGTATTTGTTTTTATAAAGTGTAAAAGTAACACATTTAGCTCTCTGTAATGATTAAGCAAGTGTTGGCTCTGCACTGATAGAATATTTGATGCTTCAGGAGTGTTTATAGGCTTTGTTGGGAAATAAAATTTCCAGAATAAGAAAATCACTCAGGGCTAAGATGTAATATTTACCAGGTTTTCATTATTACTTTTTATTGTGATTTTTTTAAATGAATTGTATAAAATGTATAACTTGGACTCTGATGAGAATATTTTGGTTTGTTTCACAATGCAAGTTAGTTAAATGCTGAGCTTTATTTTCACATAATTATGTGCAACCTTCTGTGAGAATACACACCCCTTTTCTCTGCTCTATACCATGTTCAGACAAAATTCCTCCCATAGCTCAATCCTTTGTCAAACAATGGATGTATCATAGGAGGAGATATAGTATAACTGTAGAGGGGAGAATAGGAATATTAGGTAGTGAATTATGACTGCAGCCCTCTTAGCAGCACAACAGGAAGATGCAGGTTAATGTCAAAGCAGCTTGAAAACAAAACTCTGACTTTAGCCCCCCCCAAACTATTGTGTGTGGAAATGTTTGATTTTGAATGAGATATACCAAGTGTACTGGAAAGTTTTCATTTTAGTCTTTGGGATAAAACCAAATGTTAGAATCTGAGGGTTTCGCAGAGGATTGACATGATGTACCAGTTGGAGTTCTTGGTAACAGTGTCTACAGATAGATTTGATTATAGACACGTTAAAATACACAGTTCTCTCTGTATATGTGTGTGTGATATAAACATGTGCACATAATGTGCAATTCATTTTCTTATAGACTCTTCCTAAAATCCTGGATAAAGTGGCCCCTGCATTTGTCATGAACAACTGCAGCTTCCTGGTGGAGAAGTCCCGGGAGTCGACGGCCCGGGTGGTGGTGTGGAAGGAAATGGGTGTGTTGAGGAGCTACACCATGGAAAGCACCTACTGCAGCTGCAGCCACGGACCCTACAAAGTGAGTAAATCTTTCAAAGAACCCTGTGCCACCGTTCTCCTAATGCACATCCTGTGAGATAGGACGGATAAAATGGAGTAGATGGCTGTTGTCTTGAGCAGTTTGCCTTCTCCAGGCCCACGGAGTCTGAGTTTGAGTTTCTTTTCAGTGAAATCTTTCCATGAACCCTCATTCTTTTACCTTCCATGCCAGTAGAGTCCCACTCCGAGGATTCATGCAGCAGTGAAATAAAAGGAAACTCCATTCTGGAGCCAAAAGCATTGAGCTGAAGAAAGGAGTGTTTTCGGGATGATACAGGACTCTTATCCTTACAAGGGCATTCAAAGTGCTTTTAAAAAAAGTGCTTGCAGGTCATATGGACACTTTTGAGCTTAATTCTAAGGTAGTTAACTGCAATACTAGTGACTCCAAGCTCTTTGGTACAGGCAGTCAACCTGAGCAATCACCTGGCTAAATTTAAGAACCTGTACTGAAAATCTTGCATTTGGAGTTGCTTGTTCCTGACAGGTAAAGGTAACTAATCTAAGGCTAGTTTTGACAACTGTCAATGAGTTCAAGCTATGCCTCTGACTGTGATCTAGACAAACCTGAATTCCACATCAAATGAGTTTCCAGTCTTTGTAGGAAGGGCTGTACTTGTGCTGAGTGCATCAGGCATCAGTATGTGAGATCTCCTGGCACTGTTTAAGCAAACAGGATGAACTCTGGTAATTGCATTTGAGTGATCATAATTCTCTATTCATTTAAATGATGAATTCTTTTGCTTGTCCCTTTTCCAAACCTATTGCTTTCATTGAAGGGCTTCCACATTCCACCTCATTTCTTCCACTAGGGAGCAATCCTTGTCTATACAACATTAATAAGCAGTTAAGGATCCTGAAAGACCCTTAAGGAAAGAGCCATTATTACAAATAACAATTAATTAATAAGACATTCAAATTATTATCTTTGGAAGCTCTATACTAATCCTTTTACCTCTCTGTAGAATGTTGCAGGAAGTATTCAGCTGCTGTTTTAACCATGCTCTACTATACAGACACCAATGCCAGGATAAGAAAGGTAGGAAAAAAAATGGCACATAATTTTAAGAAAGAGAATTTAATTGCCCTGGGCATTACATCTAACACTCCCTACTCCTGAGCAGTGCTGATGGTTTTTTAATAGGCATCACAGGTCAAGACAGCGGGTTTGAATCTTTTTAGACAGTGGGGGGAATATCTATTTTGACCGAAGTCAATGACAAAACTCCTAGTGATCTCCACAGAGGAGGTTTCACTGATTTCTTAGATAACCACAGTAAGATCTAAACACAGTGACACATCAGATTGTATCTCATCTAATGACTTGTTCTCCATCAGCATCTGGGAGATCTTTACCCAAATTTTCTTCATTTGTGCCATTAGATGCTTGAAATGGTGTGAAGAGAACATTAAATGCCACATTCAGACATTGCATTTAAGCATTGTACCATCCACAGGGGCCTTGTAACATATAGTAGAGATGTCAAAAATAAGCAGATGGTCCAGGATTCTTTTTTTAAAGAAATCTCTTGGAATATGTGAAATTATTTTCTAGGTTCTTTCTTGTCCTCATTTTCATCACTGATCAGGGCCACAGGCAGCCACTGAGGGCAAGAGCAAGTTCATGTATGAGCACTTGTGGCTGGTGACAGAATCCAATGTTCTCATGGCTCTTAAGGAGGTCTGTAAACTGTAAAGCAGTTCTGAAACTTCCAGTTTGAACACCCTGAGTCCCAGTTGGATCAGTGGATCATGTTTATGATGTCACATATCCTTTTTTTTTCTTTGTTTAAGATTATGATTTATCTCAAAGATGAAGGATATATCAATAATCCCACTAGAGAGCATTTCTTTACCACTGCTCCATCACAAGGCTAATACAAACAGGGTTTTTTTACAGTTTCTCTGATTCAGGCAGCTCTAATGTATTTCCACCGATTTTTTTCGAAGTACATCAAATACCCAACTTGTTAGTATCAAAATGGAATATAATTTCTTATGCTGATTATACTGGAGCTGCATATAAATACATATACTATATCTCCCAAATAATCAATGCTAATAAACTATTTCCTCTTCCTTTTCAAGTGATCTTTACAGTTGGTCCTTGTTTGCTTATTTATTTGCTCTTAAAAGTAGATTATTAACAGTATGGAATTGACAGACTGAACTGAAGATTTCGTTGCATAATACCATTTAATACTCAGCTTCCATCTATCAAGCTAAAACTACTTCATTATTATCTCGAAGACCTGAAATTATTCCTGTAAACTGGACATTAATCATGTAAGAGGTCATTTATTTCTAGTGGCTTCAGCCTGAGTTCTTCATTCTTAGACCTTCCAGTTGATGTGTGTGTAAACAATAGACTGATACTAATGCTCAGGCAGGAGATGTCAGCCTCCAATATTTAAGGCTTTCTGATATTTGGTTTAGTAAATTTGTGTTTAACTGTGAATGATAGAGTCAGTTTTTTAATTGCATAGGACTGATCTCCCTGTAAGGATATATCCAGAATTTCTCCCAGACAAGCATGCCCTTATGTTTTTTGATACTTGAAGTACAGAACCAGGACTTAAAACATCTTGTTATATACAGCAGAGGCTCCCAAGTCCAGCATCACTCAGTGAATCAGTGGTCAAACCTCTATAAAGGCTCAGCAGACCTGGATCCAGGTCTTTAACTTTCTTTCAGCTTGTAAGTGATGAAAGGAATTCACTGAAGTAGCTGAAGTAGCTGCTTTGCTGGCTGTGAGCACAGGTACAGTACTTGGAGTTGCACAGAGGCATCAGATGGGGGTTGTGCAAAGGATTTGGGAAGAAAAAGAAAACTATATAGAGGTTACAAGAGGTTAAAATATTAATTGCACAAGGCTGGTCAGTGTACCCCCTCTCACCACTGGTCAAGTAAGGGCTGAAAGTAAACCACAGCCTACTTACCCTGGTAGAAAATATACTTCTAGAGTTTTTTTCCCAGGAACAGTGTCTCCTCTTGTGGACTGAAATTTTAAAATGCTTTAGTGACTGAAAGATAAGGCAGGAATTTGGTACTATTGATATGTAAATGAGAAACAATAGTGACCCCAGACTCGTTTAAAAGTCATTTGATTTCAAATGGAGAGAAGGATGGAAATGAAAAGAGAACAGACACAGTTTGCTTGTTGAATCTCCTTGTCTGTGTGATCAATGGAAATGCAATAAGCCAACTACCCTTAAGGAAGCGAAACATAAAATTAAAGAAACTATTGATCTTATCTAAGGTTTTGTTCAACCTAAGGAAGAAGAAAATAAAGGGGTAAAACATCCAAACTCTTTTTCATTTTGTCTGGATTGCCCAAATCAGTCTTAGAGGAGCAGTATCTCCATTTGGAAGTTGCTAAAAACAGAGCAACTGATTTCCACAGGGAATTCTGCCTCCTGCTTCTGCTAGTTTACAACCTTGTGGCCAAACCAGAAAATATTATTATTAATAATAATAATAATAATAAATAAACTTCTTATAATTTCTTTGCTCATGTGAAGGCCATCTGCATTTGTCCCTCGTTGGAGCTTTACCCCTCCAGCTTGCCTTGTGATTTTAATTGCTGCCTCCCTCTTGTGGGACATAGAGCCCAGAACTCCTTCTCATATTTTGTTTTTAAAAGACCAGACGCAAGGCCTACTGTAAGAAGTTGTGCTGTGTACAAGTACAGTCTGGCACAGTTATGACCCCAGAAGAATCAAATCTCCAGTGACACATACTGACAGTTTCCCAGGTTTCTTCTGTGATTAATTTTTAAACTTGGGTATCTCTTTGCTGTTCAATCATGCCCCACTGTTCCATGGTTCTTCTTGATTCCTTTTTACCTCACCTGCTAATTAAGACTCTTCTGTAGCATATTGCACTGTGCTGTTCTGTTCATTACTGTATCCATCATGCTAAAAGTTAATGTCTTTTGTGCCATTGTGTACAGCTGAGTTCCAAACCATATGTCTTGGTAATAAAGCAAATCTAAAAAATCGACTTCATGTTCTGTGAGTACATGCTATGTTGGAAAAGCATTTTCCTTGGCATGTTGTACCTGATGGAGGAGATGGAGTACTAATGGAAATAGATTTTAGCTTCTTGCTTAAAATGGATTACAAACAACAAGGAGTAACAAATGAGTTTCAAAATTATGGCAGATATCTTGACAGTGCCCCATGAAGGAAGTCTTACTGGTGATATGGCTCCCTCTTTGAAGAAAGCTTTTGGAAGAGCTGAGCAATAAGACTTTTTTTTTTTTTCCTTCTCCATTTTAATGCTTCTGAGTCAGAGGAATGGAATACTCCAAAATTTCTCATTTGACTTGGTGAGAGGAAAAAGCCATCCCTTTGGAGAGACACCGGAATTGGAGAGCGAGGCCATACAGCTCATAAGACTTCCTTTATATTAATTCAAAATATCTTTGCTAAACAGAAGTGATGAGAGTTAGTCTAATTGGAAGACCTAATATTATCCATCCCCTTTAACCTGGCCAGCCTGGGCTAAATTATTTAAAATGATTGATGAACCAGTGATTTACCACAGAAGTGTGGCTGAATTAAAGCAATATGCCAAGATTAAAACCTTCCCTCTGTCTCATCCTTCAGAAGTGGCCTTCTCTGGTTTGACCTGTTTCTGCCAAAATTAGCCAAATTGTTACAAATATATGACCTGGCCACTGAATTATAGTGCTATTTCTTCAAAATTATCTGTACGCAATTAAATATTTCCTCTATCTTCTTTACTCTTGAAGATTACTTACCAAATTTCTGCAAGGAATTTTTACCTATGCTTTATTCATAAGAAGTTTAGCATGTTTAGTAGTCAGAAATTTAGTTGTTTTGATGGAGTTTGCAGGTCACATGATGCTGCTTCTGTTCTCCAGTAAGAAGTATATTGTTCTTGTAGCTGGAAGTCCGGTGCACAGATTTACAAATAATTTTAATTTGGCCTCTTGCCAGTATTCACCCACCAATA